AGGATGACCAACACAAACTGCGCAGCAACAGATGAGCTATCGTCTATGAATTTACATCTACAAGGTGAGCCAACAAGGCAGGAGTGTCTAATACAGTGGACAGTGAGTGGACACAGTGTTTACAAAGTCCAGCGGCACTGCTGAGTGTGATCCACTCGTACCAGCACAACACACACAAAAACACCACAACCACGTCAGTGTCAATGAAGTGCTGGGAAGTGCTGATCCACCAAGCAAACAATACCTGCTCTGTGGTGGTCCTGACCATTGAAGAACAGGGTAAAGGGGGTCTATCAGAGAACAGATGGACTACAGTCTGTAACTGTAGAACTACAAAGTGCTCCTATGTGGTAGGTGAAGCTGATAAAATTGACCAAAAATGTAGAAACAAGCGGCCAGTCGGTGTACAAATGGTCTAAAGGCCTAACAAAAAATGAAGCTTCCGAATGCTAAATAAGGAAACAAACATCACCATGACAAATGAATACTTAAGAATTTGGATTATTCAGGCCAGCCCTAGTGCAGTTCCATTCACTTTGTGTTTTAAAGCTGGCAAACGACAGATGGACGGATCCTCGAAGCAACAAGTAAGAGACCACAGAGTGTATAATTTACTCTCCTCTAGTTAGAGACTGTCACAGTGCACACATACACCCTTATGCATGCACACAAAATCACTGTCAGTGCACTCTCTGCCCCCTTTTTGAAGGGTTGGCATTACTGTGTTGGCAGCCTGTTAATTATAGTACTGTGTGCCCGGCTGGCACTGGAGACAATTAAGTGTTTGTCTACAGACTGGCACACGGGGGGCAGCAGGTTTGCCATCACCTGTCAGAACGCCATTAGCTGCCCACACACTTGCATGCCACGGCTAAACGGAGCCAGAGGACGCGGAGGGCGAATGCAATAGTAGCTCTGATGAGCGTGACACGTTCGGCATCCATTATTAACAATACAGACAGGAAGAGAGAGACACTGAGGCCGCAGTAGCCATAAAAAGAAAGGCCCGAATGTGCGGAAGTAATACGCATGTAGGTACTGTTATGTGCAAAAGTCTGAGACCACCCTTTATTTATTTAATTCCCAATCAAATTAGTCATTAAGCGCAAGTTATACATTTTTCAGTGTCAGAAAAAAAGCAGATATCATATTTATATATACACATACATATTATAATCATATTTAATGGAAAATTACACAGAAGCTCCAACAACTTAATATAATATCACATTTTCAGTACTTAATGTGTCCACTCTTTACCTTTATCACAGCTTTCACTCTTTTCAGGAGACTTGCTTTCAGTTTTTCCAAAAATTCTGCAGGGATATTTTTCCACACATGCAAAGTTCAGTCTTAGAAGTTGGTTGCATTTCCTGCTTCTCACAATCCAAGTAATCGCAAACACATTCAGTGATGTTGAGATCTGGACTCTGGGGTGATCAGTTCATTCTTCACACTAGCAGATACTTTACTTGATTTGCAAATGTTTTTCTTTCCTTTACTCAGTAAGGGCCTCTTGACAGCTACACATCCCTTCAAACCCATCTGATCAGTTTGAAGGTGCTGATCTACACTGATTTTAAAATGTTAGAATAGATTAGAATTCACTATAAAAGTATTTAATACATTTTGCATTCATTTTTAGCACAAAATTTAAATTCTCAGGCTTAAATGTAAACATGGTATATTGTTCTTTGCTTGTATAATCTCCATAAAAAAGATCTGCCCACTCTGGTGCAGCTGCACATGAGGCCGAAAGTGCCTAAACTGCTTGGAACTGTGTTCTCTGAAGTAATGGAGCTCCATCCAATACCTCTGGGATGAGCTGGAGTGATCCAGAACTGATCATCCAACATCAGTACCTGACCTCACTAATGCTCTATCAAATCCTCACAGCAATGTTCCAACATCTAGTGTAAAGCCTTCCCAGAAGAGTAAAGGCTGTTACTGCAGCAAAGGGGGACAGACTCACTATTAACACCCTTCATTTAAAGGTAAACACTGGATGAGCAGGTGTCTACAAACTTTTGGACATGTTTTTTGTATTCCACTACTGTATAAATATTTCTTTAAGTCACAGATTATTTTCAAAAATGCCAAAATAATCTAATCAAATTGTGGTGGAATTTGAGATTTCTTCCATTGTAATACACTGAATTGAACTGTATATTCCTGTAGTACTCAGATATATTTGAGTCACAATCACGAAATTTTAGCTTATAATTAGTTGCTATAAAAATTTGCAATTAACAATTTAATGTTTTTTTGTTTTACGATACGCAGCTAGTCAAACACACACTACTCACCGCCACCATCTAAAAGCGCTATTGACAAACACCAAATAAACAAACGTTACTCACTGCCGCCCTCTAAAGGCATTTTTGACAAACACCAAATAAACGAACGTTACTAACTGCCGCCCTCTAAAGGCGTTATTGACAAACACCAAATAAACGAACGTTACTCACTGCCGCCCTCTGAAGGCGATATTGACAAACACCAAATAAACGAACGTTTCTCACTGCCGCCCTCAAACATTACTCACTGCCGCCCTCAAACAAACGTTACTCACTGCCGCCCTCTAAAGGTGTTATTAACAAACATCAAATAAACAAACATTACTCACCACCGCCCGTTTTCTGTTTTCTTTTATTTACATACAACCCAACACACCAAAGATTGTTTGTTGTGACGTTCACATGATTGTGAAATATAACCACTTTGAAAAATCGGCTATGTAAAATTGTGACAAGCCCTAGTGTAACCTATCATTGTGGCACCAGATCATCATTTTGAAAGTTAATATTGAATAGTAATGAAAGACTTTGTTTTAAACGAAGGCGTCTTCCTCCACTGCTGATGGCTGATGGCCGACGGCCGATGCCTTCTGTCCACCGAGTGCTTCAAATGGTCCTTTGCGAAGCCTGGAGCAAGACTGGCCTCATTAACTTTGAGTCTGGATTTCAAAGCTGATCTGCTGTTGCATCTTGCAACGGTGCATTAAACTCAGATCCTCACGCCATTACACAAATAGACCTGTGTCTCACTACTGAGTCAGTGGAACTTTCCATTCCCCACGGCACCAATATAAACGCAGCCACTGAAAGACGAGGATCGTTTTGGCAGAGGATGGAGCTGACATGGCCTCAAATATGTCGCTTGGTCAGCAGGATCACTGAGTTAATTCTGCAGATAACAGGAAATAAGGTATAAGGCCCTGGGCAAGGCTACAGCCATGTTAGGCTTACATATGGTGTTGCTGGAAATACAAGTCTATCGTTATGTGACCCTGTCCAAATATTCACAGTAAAAGGCACAAATACACAGTTCAGTGTTGTTTAATTCTGATGTAGGCCTGTTATTCATGAAACATAAACCTACCATAAACTACAAGGAAAAGAAATGCCTGGTCCCCTCAACAAGCACAAGCAAACAAGATGGATTGAGACATTGCTGAGGAATCTCCCTAAGGATTTAGAACCACTTCGAAACAATAATGCCTTCACAGGTACTGAAGCAAACCATCATCAAGAGTCTGAGACAACTGAATTCAAGACAGCAGGACTTATTTTACAGCTCAAGAGTGCCATCTGCTGGATTTCGCACTGTCTCACATGGCTTATTTCCTATGTTTCATGACTGAAGTAGAATTCCCTTAGTTTTGTAAATTTTCTACATAATTCAATTATTGACATGTAAATAAAGTGATTCAGGGTGGTTTGATTTAAAATGCTCCACTGTAGAGAAACTTACCAATTAGAAGTTTCTTTACAGTGGTGGTGACAGGAACCAGGGATCATGATGACACGATGGCAAATCTTGCCATTTTAGTACTTACATTTAATATGTACTATACAAAATGACCAGTGAACTTATATGTAATGTGATGCTGCTGTTAAGGGTAAAATAGTGGAGCAAGTGAAAAAATAACCCTTCAACCACTCTTCATGTACCTCTTCACCGTAAATACACTTGAGAAAATGTATTTCCAGCCAAAATTGTTTTAAACTACCACAACACAATGTCTCAGACATCAGGTAACACTGTCACCATTTCATATAATAGTGTTCTGTAAGTCTAAAGTTGGGCTGGTCAGAATCCAGATTTAAACCCTATAGAGAATATTTAGTCTCATATTGCTAACTTGGCAATGTTTTTTCAACTGTTTGAACCCATCAGTATTGAGTGGAAAAAGATTCTTTTTTCAAAAAGATTTTCTGCAGGTTTACACACAAGACTTCAACATTAGATCAGATTTCCCATATTAAGTTAGTTTATTTGTTTAGGGATTTGTTAAGATTGTTAAAAGCTTAATGTTTGACCATTTAAGTCATGTACTTATTTAAATACACTGAAGCACATCAAACTGCATTTTTACATGTAAATGGCTCAATATTAAAACTACATAAGTTATGCTGTAGGAAGTAGCATGATAGACCAATGTACACTGTGGTACTAAACAGAGCCAGGCTGAACTTGCTTATTCATTACTGCATGAATCCAGTTCTACTGATGCCACAATCAGGACAAAAGTACTAAAAACTACAAGACAATAATTTGGAAAATTTACTGACAGCTATATACAAAAAAATTATAAATAAAATAATCATTGGTACCAAGACTCAAATTGAAGTTAGGAGTGAGGCGATCAGAAACCACTAGATTGTGGTGTAGTATTTGGAGTAGGAAAAATGTGCTTATTTAAGAAGGCCACATCAAGAAGAACTATAAATCAGACAAGCTTTAATTCCCAATTGTGGCTTAAAACTCTACATTGCTTCTACTGAAGTTAGTTTATGTTGCTTTCCTCATTTGACTCCATGCTGCTTTCTAGTGACCGACACAAGAGTGACAGGCACAATTTATTACTTTGTTGATTAAAACATACAATACAAACCAATCAAAATACACATACAGAATACATCTTTTAAAACCCTATATACAAACTTTTAAATAGGACTAGAAGTACAACTTTGCTACGTGCAGAATGTCTTTTTTTTGACCCAACAGTCTATATACTTCATTTCATTCTATCGAGGTGGTCCCACTTCCCAATATCCAAACATCTCCTGGGAGGCGTAGGTCATGTAAAGGAATCCATCCTCATCTTTGTGGTCCTTGTACACCTGAGCCATAGTCAGAGACATGCTGGCGATGCCCGTGTTGTTGATGAGTAGGTAGAAAGCTTGGCTTGGCATGAGAGTCATTCTGTTTCTGAAAAGACAACCACAAACAAAAATGGCAGACACTGTGGTGGGCAGACTAAAACCATCCTAAAATTAAATATTTTAATTTTATCCCACCAACATCTTATTACAACCACCATCTTCTACTACAACTACTACTACTACTACTTATTATTAAAATAATACTAATAATAATAAAAATAAATAAATACATAAATAAATTAATTAATTAATAAAAAGAAAAGTCCCAAGTGAGAGGTGTGAGCAACAGCAAAGCAGTCCAGGAACTGGAACCAGACAGAATGAAATTTGAACAGAGGGGGATTAGGGGCTTTTGAAGGGGAACTCTGGCCCAAACGGGGAGTGACATCCTTGTGATGTATCTTGAAGCTGGGATTGCTTGGCAGTGGAATTTATGAGGGTAGGCTGTTTTGAAAAGCAGCTAAATATCACTACTGCTAGAAAGACATAACTTGTTACTGTTGGTTTTTATTTAAAAAATAAAGAACTAGAAAACAGAAATTTTTAAATAAAAGAATAGATTACAGAACACCAGATGAAGAGGACATGGCAAAAGCTGCCATTAGCAGGGCAGCTATTTGGGTATTAGACAGTTTACCTCAGTTTAACTTTCCTCTTGCTAAAAGGGCATTAAAAAATAATTTTAAAAAAAATTGTCTGGCATTTTTGGCTGAATAAGAACAATCACTTTCTCCAATGTGTCTCACCAACCAAGGTAAAAGTTACACTTATGCTACACTGGCTAGCAGTCAGGATTGGTTGACACCACAGGGATTCTCAATGGTTGTTTGAAGTTGTATGATTTGTGTAATACATACTGGGTACTGTAGCAAGAGAACATTAATGAATGAAAACAATATGAAACTGAATTCCACCAAACCAAAAGATTCACTTTAGTTTTGCATGAAATGGACAAACATTAAGCCCTACACTCTTAAAAATGGTTCAAGAGTTCTTCAGTAAAGACAATGATTCTGTTTAGAATGATTTCATACTTAAAGGGTTCTTCTTATATAGTTCTATATAGCACAATAAAGGGTTCTGCTATTGTTACAAGCTTGACATTGTAACAATAGAAGAACCTTTTGTGTAATATTAGAACCATATTCACAACACAGTCTCCATCAAACTGAAGAGCCTTTTTACCATGCAAAGAACCACTTAGGCATGAACTGGTTCTATACAGAACTCATGGTTTACTTTACTAAAGAACCTTTAAAAAACAAGTCTTAACTGTGTAGTTTTAGGTTTGAATGTCTTATAATGGACTGATTAATTTGATTAAGAAGATTAAGATTTTTCTCCACAAACTCTTGAGCAAAAGTGAGCTTAACCTTTGAAAATACCTCAAATTGTTTAAAAAAAATATACATAAGCAATGGTAAACTGGACTAGTTACTAGTCAATCCACAAACCACGGCTAATGTTTTGAAGCTGTTAGCCACCAGATAAGTGATCTATGATTCAGTTTAACAATACTTAAGACTTAAAGAGCTCACCTGATGATGGTGACAAACTGGGTCATAGTCAGCTCTTGTGGGACGAGGAACTTTGTTTTGTCCAGAGGTGGCAGGTATTTCTCCCGATGGTACCGTTCAATAATCACCTGTAAACAGAAAGAAACGAGCTGTTCACTCATACAAAACACTTAACGGCACAGCTAGCAACACATTTTTGGGGATGTCTTACCGGAACCTTGGTTGGAAACTTGCTGCGGATTCCTGCCACTTCTTGCTTTCGTGTTGCTGTTGACAGATGAGAGCAAAGTTAGAAAAATCCACGAGGCTTCCTATTCGCCAGCTTCTTGTTCGAATTCTCCCGTTCCACCTCAAATGATGCAGCAGTTACATTCTGTTTAAGGTGGAACGGGAAATCCAAACAAGAAGCTGAATCAGCTTTGTGAAAACCGCGTTAAAGCTCTGTAAGCCGCTGTTACATTAAAGTGGTGGGAAACGCGCTTTACCGAAACTTTTCCTCTGTTTGAAGGGCTTTGGGTGCTGGGTTTTCTCAAACGGAGGCATGCTGTCTGATGTGTCTCTCCCCTCGGCTTTCCCACGGCCTCTGACCCGCCCGGCCTGATTACTCATGAAGCGCAGCTAACACAAATTAAATAGCGCACGGTGCGGTGACGTAGCCGGGCCTGATCCTTCCCATGCTGCCCTTCCAGATCCAGATTAGAGGAGCAAAACAACAAAAAAAAGACCAAAACAGTTGAGTCATTTGCAGTTATTCAGTTACATGTAGTTAAAGGTACGTCTTCATAGATACGTTCACTACACAGAAAAACAAAGCAAGGAGGTCTGGAGAACACAATCCTGCTTCTTCTTTGCTGTAAAATAAAGCACATTTAATAGAAGCTCATCAGTTTGCTGTATATTTTTTTCACATTCACTGCTAGTTTAGTGTAAAAGGTGAAAGGTCGCGTTACACGTCACGCAATTTACAAGTGGGAAAATTTCCCATTTTCCGACACGAACGCAGCGCGATATCATGATATCCCTAATATTTTGATACTAATACTATTAAAAGGGCGTATTTCCCACATTTCTCTCGTGTTTTATTTTTCATCCTTGATGCCCATTTATGTTTTTTTATGTAATTTACGTAACAAAAAACGGTCATAATTCATTGTCGTACCTCCTGTTATTTTTTAGAATTAAATAAGCCGTTTTCGTGAATGTACCTTTGATTAAAAATTTAAAGGTACAGTAAGAAAAAGTAGCCATAATTCATAATTCGAACCTCGTGTTATTCCTTTAATTATGTATATGTTAATTTAACAAGCTGTTTTTGTTAATGCACCTTTAACTGACAATTGAATAGTACTTTCTGAATCCACAATTGATATTTTGTCCCCTAATAAGGACAGTTACAACAGTTTCTAATGACTTTTTTAATTTTCAAAGGTTACGCAACAGTTTATCTAAGAGAGTGCCACATGCTGAGTGAAAACCAGGTACCCACTCCTTATAACTTCAGTGTGAATGGGCAGGGCTACACTGCTGTAGGCTGACTAAGCTAATATATGTAAATGTGCTGGGTTTTGTAACATCACAAAAACAGTGAATTCGAAATGGGCTGGTTTTGCAGTTTGGTTTCCATATATGGGCTGTATGGACTGGGGAGTGAATGGTACATTTTGAAATTTTTTTAATAAAAAAAGTGAGGAAAATTGTATGATATGGGCCCTTTAAAAGTCTTTTTGTACATGTAAAATGAGTCATGCTTTGTGTTTTAACAGTAAAAACCAGTAAATATGGACATCAAAAATTCTTTTTGAAAGTCTTTTTATTAGTATTAAGTAAACAGTATAAACTGACTACTTAATAGTGCAAGATAATTCCATATGATCTGACATTGTGGCTGTCTGTGCCTGTGTGTGCACTTATGAGGAGCAGAGGGAAAGGTTCAAAGAACAAGAAGATCCTGTACTGCACATTTATTTGCTACATTCATACATTTTTTTTACTTTTCAGCCTAGGAGACACCGTGTGTTTTATTAAAAGATACATATTCAGTAGAGGGCAGCGGTGAGTAATGTTTGTTTATTTGATATCAAACTGTTTATGCTGCAGGGTTTTCAGCCGTCTGATCAATATGGCAGAGACGAAGATATTCAGATGTTAGTAAAAAAGCAATTGCCTATTGTTTTAACTTGTGATGGGCTGTATTATGCTTATCATCTTAAATCTTCCACTGTAGATTAGTTCATTTAATGAAAAACAAATACAGCTGATAATCTCTTCTGGTACTGCACAAGCAGAGCCTGCACATCACATGAGTCTGTCCCAGTCACATGGTTTTAAACCAAGCACCAAGGTACACAAAATACAGGAGCTCCTGGGGGGGCGGGACCCCATAATTAACCTCTTGGACCCCCTGAATGTCTCAAAATGCAAAAAATAAACTTGCCCATTCTGCTACAAATTCTGGGAAAGATCATTGTTTAGCTGCTTCACCCACAATAGGTGAGCTTCTGTCTTTGGTGTTCTTAACTGAAGATGAAGCACTGGTCTGCATCATGGTGGCGCTGTAGCAATATGGTTCACTTAGTTGGTCCTTCATAGCCTAGCAACTGTAACCAGTTGTAGAGAGGAGAATTACCACTCTGTAACGTCTTCTGGGTTTCCCAAACACTAGAGGGCGCTCCAGAGTGAGTCCAAAATGAATGAATTAAGATGGAGCATTTGAGTAAAATCATAGTTTATAAATGCTTAAACATTTTTAATGTAAAAGAATAAATTTATTTCCTGAACACTGAATAGCATAAAACATTTTAACACCACTGTTATATTTTAAGAGCTTTTACACTCGAGTTATAGGAGTTCAAAATGGCGGCTCATGTACGTTCATGACATCTGTGAGCGCGAGCAGCCAATAAGCTGCTCCGCTCACCAACCAATCAGCACTCAGTAGCAGTAATGTTAGCGTCCTGCTGCCTAAAACCCGTTTGCTGTAGAAAAAAGGAAATATATATGTAAGTTTACTTTGCTTTTTTAGTGAAATACATCCTTTTACTTTCTCATATTAAAGGAAAGTTCTGGGCAAATGACTATTTTAACTTTTTGTTTTTAGACATTGAGCTCCATTCACTCCCATTTGTTGAGTACTCACTTGCGTGCACCCTCTGGCATTTTGCAGTCATGTTTTTGATATAACGGGGGGGAATAGGAAGAAGCCATGCTCCACATAAACCAGCTCTGCTGTAACTATACCAGGGATACCTCTGAAGAACTTTATAATGTGCTGTAGCTTATTTGTAAATCTAAAAACTTGCCCAGTTTCCCAAAAGTAGTAAATTGTTACACACTTGAATTGTCACTCATTGGGGCAGTTATGGGCTGAAGGTTAGGGAACAAGCCCCATGACTGGAAGGTTGCCGGTTTGATCCCCTGAGCCAACAGTGCATGACTGAAGTGCCCTTGAGCAAGGCACCTAACCCCCAACCACTCCCCGGGCGCCGTCGATAGGGCTGCTCACTGCTCCCTAGTGTGTGTGTTCACTAGTGTGTATGTGGTGTTTCACTGCACGGATGTGTTAAAATGCGGAGGTGAAACTTCCCTGTTGTGCAACTAATAAGGGTCACTTTTCGAAGACTAAAGAGGTGTAAGATCTCAGTTAATGTGTAGAGGAGAGCATTGGCAAACTAGAAGAGATCATTTCCAAAAGAAGAACTGTTAAACCAAACATTCTATTGCCATTAAAGCTAGCATCAGTACCACTATAGTGAGTGAGCAGCCAACCAGTGCTGGAGTAGCCAGCCAACATGGGACCCTCCAAATACCAGCGGGTATTTCTTACACTGCCTAGCGCCTTGAGGTCCCTTTCCCTCTACGTCTGCACATTGTTGACGTCAACAAAGTGCAGACTTGGAAGAGGACTGCAGGGTTTAGGCCACCCTTTGGGACAGGGCTTCACTCAGAAAAGGAATCTCTCACTCACATAGCTTCTAATTCCTATTTTGGGGGGTTAATTTCATTCTGTTTTGTTGTTTCAGTGCCTGGACTGCTTTGCTGTTATTCACGTATCTCACTTTTGACCTTTAGTATTTTATTTTATACCAAACGGATCCAAAAAGGATAAAGATGCTGGATGTACTAAGAAGTTCCAATATATTTCTTTAGGGAACTCGGTAATTGAGACATTTTTGACTTAATTCTGCTACTTAAGTGGATTTTTTTCTACCTACATTTACTTTTCCTTCTATTCAAGTTTTATTGAACTGATATGACTTTTACTGGAGCGTTGTTTTGGATTGCTCTACCCACCCCTGTAATCCAAGGGAGGAGTATGAGAATTAGATGTACAGTTTGATGGGCCTAGACATATATTGCCTTGCTGGTAAGGCAGATGTGAGATGTTTTGTATCACAGTTAGGCAGAATCCAGTGAGCCCTGACCTCTTTCTTATCAGTGTGTGTGGCTATAAACGTGCATTCCTTCACTGCTTGTAAAAGACATAAGTGCACTCTTATGTGTGGAAAGAATGACGTTAACAAATGTCATCCGTGCACTAACCTCCAGCTTCTCTTTCACAATAAAACGCTTGTGCTGTGCTGTCTTCCATGTTTATCAGTCTTGTTACCAACTGAGTGCCGCATTACATAATGCTACGGGCAGTACATTGATTTACATGCACTCCCAGCAGCCTGCTAGATATAGCCTGTTTATCAGTCAAAGGAGATCTCTGGCCAGAAAGAAAATTTTAACTATCACTACTTCTGTTGTAAACATGCTTACTCCCTTCTTACAGCAGTGCTGCAATAATCTCAAAAGTGACATTTTCCTGTTAAAAGACAAGAAAAAACCCTTTCTGATGATGAATGTTGAAGGTTTTGAGGACTATACCTGCTTTGAGTTGAATAGTTTTTTTCCACTCTGCTGGCTGAAGCAAAAGAAAGCCAGCTAGTTAACATTACTGCTTGGAAGCTAAATATAATGTTTATATCGATTAGCCTGCACATCACTGGAATTTTTCTTTTTTTTATCGCTTTGGGGGGTATTGCTAATGGTTTTGTGGCATAATAGGTATAGTGGTTAGAGAACATTTATATACAAAAAAACAAAAAGGATACAAAATCATCAATTCTGTCAAACCTAAGAGGTCGAAGGATGCAATATTGAATATCACACAACCAGACAAATAACATCAAATGTCTTAGGCCAAAATGCCTCTTCAGTTCCTTTTTGTTTTATTACTATAGATCTCAATTTCTGCATCCATTTTTAATGTAGTTTTTAGAGTTAGTGATAGAGCATTCTGTCAACTATCTCGATTTTAGTATGAACGTTTATGGTAATATAAATAAGGCGTTGATAAATTACACTGAAAATGTTACAGGCAGTATCGCAAGCTCAAGAAATGCAACGACCAAAAGGCCCGTTGGAACTTTTAAACTACAAGTTCCATCATGCTTAGCGCGCAGCTCATCGCACATTCATCTCTGATTGGTTGTTTTCTAGGAGTCGTTTGTTGTATCCAACCAGAGCGGAGCGTGTCGACACTACGCTATGTTTGTGGGCGTAACCAGCCTCGCTGTCGACGTCACGAAACAACAACGGCCGCAAGTGACGGGAAGTTCGAGTCAGTTTGGCGAGCCGATTCTTTCGAAGTGTTCATTTCAATGAACCAAACGTCCGACTCAAGGATTCATCGATTCACATGTTAAGTCAGCTTTGTGTCCATCTCCCCCGTGTACAGCGACGTTTGATTCAGCGAGTGAGTCTTATCTTTGCTACTTGCAGAGACAAGACTCGTCTCTAAGAACATGGCTGGGACATTTACCAGGGCCAGTTTTCTGTACATATAAATTAAGCCTAGTCCTGGGCTACAATGCATTTTGAAAGCAAAGTGTAAGGTTAGTCCAGGAATAGTTTTAATCCCTGTCCAGGAAACCAGACCTGACAGCAGCTGAAATATGAATGATTTTACTTTTATTAGACGCCTTCAGTCGATAACATAACATTGTAGGGGTGGGTGATATGGCAAAAATATTGTATTACGATACTTCAAGACATTTTCACAACACACGATATGCATCACGATATTTAGTTTTTCTGAGATTTAATTTTAAAAGTTATAACAGGCAAAATAGAACCTGTAGTGCCACATATAACAATTTAATAACAACAACAACAACAACAACAACAACAATAATAATAATAATAATAATAATAATAATAATAATAATTAAAAGCCTGCAACAGCAATGATTTCTATATAATATTTTAAAAACTGAACGGCGCTATAATGAGTCAAGCATTTAGTAGTCAGTGTTCCTCATGTACTGACAATATCCACAATACGCGCAGCAGAGTTTATTGTGACATAATTTATCACGATTACGATAAAATATCGTCGTATTGCCCACCCCTAAAACATTTTTAGAAAGGATGCAAAAAATGTTCGATTCAGTTGGGACTTGCGAATCGGTTCGACCGATGTATTGAACTCGACTGGGTCAAAAGAGCCGATTCGTTCACGAATCGGACATCTCCAACGGCCGCCTCGTATCGAGTCCGCTCGGTCGAGCAGCAGTAGCAGCAGATCCGTCAGTAGCGGTTTTCCACTCCGACTCACTCCAGCGGATTTATTTATATTTTAAGAGCACAGATAGGAGTCGACGGACCAAAAAGTGGTCGTGCCTAATCTGGGCGAACCGTATCTCCCACTCCCTGGCCCGGCCATGGACGAGCAGGCGGGCCCCGGCGTGTTTTTTAACAACAACAACAACTCGGTGCTGCCCGGCGGTGGGAAAGCGCCACAGCCGGGCGACGTGGGAGGCGGAGAGGCGGCCAGGGCGCAGTACAGCATCCCGGGGATCCTGCACTTTCTGCAGCACGAATGGGCCCGTTTCGAGGTGGAGAGGGCGCAGTGGGAGGTGGAGCGAGCCGAATTACAGGTGAATACACATTTCTTCAGCCAGCTGTGGCTTAGCGCCGTGTTTTTTGTGTGTCGTGCCAGGTTTGACTCCAGCGTTCCTCGGCTTGTTTTCGTGCAGTTAACGTAGCTAGCATGCTAGCTTTAGGCCTGCCTCGAAACGCTGTCTACCTTGACAGGCAGCTAAACTTTTAATTTGTCAGCATAATAGAGATCTTTAGCCATTAACCAGACCTCTTTCTGGTAAATGGTGTTTGTTAAATGCGTCTAAAACTCTGCATGCTCGCAGATTTTTGCCTGGCCGCCTGACTTAAGCTACTATTGTGAGATGGAGCTGTGATGGCATTCCAGAAATGCTCTAACTGTTGATCTTGTACACAACCAGTTCACGATCCGTGCCTTTTATGGGCTTGAACTGGATTGTGAAACTATCTTATCCTCTGCTTTTTGATTGATTTAGGCTGTGCACACTGAAATTGAAATGGGTCTGTGTCTAGGTATATGAATAGCAGCACGTGCAGGTCACCTCTGATGCAAAGAGTGGATATCATGCAATCTGTCCGTTTAACTAGGTGACACTGGTGCCCTTTAGATTCACTCACTTCACCTTCCAGTGACCAGTCGTGGATGATGAGTTGCTAAGGAGTATAAGCCTGGGTTATACTGACCAGCAAACGTATTTATGACCCTATAAGATGGCACAATGTTTTGCATACTTCACATCTGTATGATGCTTAATTTCCCTTTGATTTATATGAGCTGTTGTGGTATAAAGGCCAGTTATTCATTAAGCTGAATATTAATGGTCTGTAGCCCTAATTGGCATTTGTGCATCACTGATTTGGAAGCTGCTGATCTACTTGTGGATAAATCCAGTATGGAAGGCATGCAGAACAGCTGTAGGTGGAAGTTGACTCCCGGTGGCCAAGCAAGTTTTTTTTTTTTATCTCACTTGAGACCAGAGTGAGCGAAGTTTAAAGTTGAGAAATGCTGGAGAGGGTGTGATTACGGCAAGAGATGGGCAGATTCCTGTGCACTGGCATTTTCCCCTCTGGCTGCTTTCTGTTTTTGTTATTGCTCTCATAACTGGTGCGTTTTTCATGCTTTTCAGCAGGGCTATGTGAAAGTGAGGACCTAAACACTGTGAAAACCATGTAATGGCCACTGGTGGTTTATGGTTAAATAAGCTAGCACTGGGTTAACATTGTATTTGACCTGCATTATTAAAAAAAAAGGTGCCAAAACAGGTTTAAACCATTTTTGCTCGAGTAAACGATTCTGGATTCTCCTCTCTTTTTTCAATAAAGAGTTTGATACAGTGTGTAAACACACACCATTCACTCCCCATACAGTCCATGCAGCTACAGAAACAGCTTTTTGAATTTATTGTTTTTGTGACGAATATGTTTACACACATCCACTTATATTCAGCCCACAGTAATGTATCCCCTCCCATTTACGCTGAAGTTATAAGGAGCGTTTCAGCATAGGCTGCTTTTTGTATAGGGTACAATACACGACAGCCAATCAGAACAGAGCTCATTTACATACAGCAGTCTTCAAGGCACAGACAGCCTGTTTAATTATAAGTGTTATAGGTTGGAAAATGGTCATGTTGCATTTTTGATACATAAACCCTAACAAATGTCATAAGTAAAAAAAACTATGAAAAAAGATTGTAAATGAGTAAGTGTGAAGAGCCGTTTTTGTTTGAAGAGCCTTCACATAACATATGGATTGTACACCATTGTCTGTAGATGAATGTAAGTGGTCATGCCAGTTTGACTAGGATTTATTTAGTCACTGATTTAATTGTCTGAGGCAGTTTCCATTAGATCATTTTCATCTGTTTTCCCTGCCATCTTATGATTCCATAGAATAAACACGTCTCCTGCAACGATTATGGGAGTTAATTAATAGCAAGCAGGCAGACAGTTAGTGTAGTTAGTGCACCTATTATGAAGGTTTTTTATATATTTTTATCATAGTATCATTTGGTATTGAGCATTGTTGTCATACTCACATATCAAAATTCTGTTATCGTGACCACCCAGTAAATAGTGTGCTGAGAATTCCTGCTGTGTATATAATAATGATTGTTCTACAGCTGAACCTCTGGACAGTAGTGACCTTGTATGGATGGCACTGAAGCCTGTCGCTGTCTGCTCACATCGTAGGCAGATCAGCTCCAGCGGTGCTTGCTTTTCTGCGTGTGTCATGTGTTTAGCACCTAGAACTCAGTTTGCAGGTAGTTCCAGCAATAACTGTGTGGTAGAGGATGGAGAGCAGAAGAAGCTGGGATTTACGAGCTGGCCTCTGTGGTGACTCATCCTACTGCACTGCACAGCTCTCTCTCTCTATTGCTCTCTCTCTGTCTCTCGCTCTTGCTCTCGCTCTCTCTCTCGCTCTCTCTCTCGCGCTCTCTCACACAGGCACACATATATGCTCTATGTATGTTAACATGTCTGTATGTAGATAAACACTGAGCTGCTAGTTTTTAGGCCTACTTAGCTTATTTCAGGACTCATTGGCCAGTTTATCAGAAACATCCACCATATAGATGCTCTTTGTAGGTTTATAGTTTAGGGATGCATATTCTGACTAATTTGATATTCAAGTGTCCATAAGATTGTAGAGCTGAATGTAGAGCTGTTGGTCTGTTTGTTTTAGGTGACAGCAGTCAGTCAGTTGCCCAAAGATTATGTATCACACAGACTACATTTTAAAACATGTTTTATTCAAAATATCTGAGGGAATGGTTTCCGTGTCGGATGAGTAACTCAACAAAGACCCTCTGAGATGAGCTTAAGAACTAAAACTGAAGCTAACCGGTTACACTGGATGCTGATGGACACTAATCATCTTCTACATATTTTTCTTTTGCAGTGAATGATGCGCCAAAATGCTAGTTTGTTAAAGAAATGTACACTGTTAGAAATAAAGGTTCTGTGCTGGTACATTTTTCATTCGTAAAGGTATAAACAATGTAAATGTTTCCACAAAGGTGCAACAGTGATTTTAAGGTCCAGTTGTGTACCTTAAATACGTTTTTCCCAGGTGAAAAGTGCAGATTTGTACATTTTCATAAGCTTATGTTTTAAAACAGAACAACAAAATAAAAAGCCTGGAGACGAGATGGGGTGTGTGGAGTAAGTACAATTTAGAAAATATCATTTCAATGGATTATGGTACAATTATGTTCCCTGACTAAAGATACTGAGATGTACCCTTGACGGTACCACCTGAGTGACAGTTACAAACCTTTTGTCTGAGAGTGTATTTTAACTCTTTGTAGTCTTAACATCAGCTTAGCCTGTGTAGCAATAAAAGCCATCTTCCTGTGATGAAGTCAGCGAATACCTGACTAGTGATTTCAGTATTTATAAGCCAGTGCCTCAAATGAGTAACCAAGTACTAGGGGTTTAATTAGGCCTAGGTTTTTGGGCCGAACCCAAACACAGCCTGAGCCCGACCTGACTTGACACACAGTGCCATATTTCCAATCAGAATCCGACTCAAGCCCAACCCGAATCACATCATGTTTTAAGTCTGAAACTGACTCTGGTTCAACAAAAGTCTGTCCAGAACTGACCTGAACTGGCCCATCACCCAAAGTGCCGAATAAAACCTGACAGGACAGCACTGGTAACTGCATGGTGACAGCAGTAGCCGTAATGTAACAGATTTAAATAAAATATTGAACAGTATGAAATGCTATGAAAGTGTAAATTCTGCTTTAATGAATTTATTCAAGTGATGCTTCTGAATCTGCGTCTGTTGTTAGTTTGGACAAATGTGCCATAATTCGCTATTCTCACACTGTGCAATGCTGCTAAAGCAAGATGTTAGCTTTACCCGTTTAATCCTTAAACCCTACATGAATGTTTTCAACACTGAACATTAGAAATCACACTTTCCTTTGGCTGCACTCTGCTGAATCTTTTCATATCGCCAACAGCAATGGCCTGGTTTCTCATGAGCGTGGTAGTCCTTGGAGCTGGTGACTTCAGTGTGCCAGATCATAAACAGATTTAAGGTAGTAAAAAGTAGCGAGGAAGAATAAAGTAAGGAGAAATGGTTATATCTATTAAACGTTATATCTGAGCCCAGCATGAGCTTTAGCACATTTGTGAAATGACGTCCGAAGCGGACATGAGCGGTCGGGTCCTGTTGGGTTTGGATTAATATTTCAGGCTCTACCGAGTTCTCAAGTACCCGTGCACATTCCTCTTACTGTTACTGACTGTAGCTCATCTTGTGCCATGCATAATATATAGTGTATGTGGCCAGGAAAGAAAGTTTTTAAAGTCCCAATTACGAAACATTGCCTGCCAACGGGGCATTGCCATATTTAGAGCCCAACAACGCTTCCCTCCATGCTGAAACATACAGTATGTATGTTTGCCACACATTCTGGCTGTCAGCTAAGTGGCAGTGGCGCTGTTTCAGCAGGTCCTGACTGGAGCTTTAAGCTGTTCCCCTCTTCAGGACAGGCTTGTCAGAGGAGTAGTGTGGGTTTGGGCTACATCACTGTGCTATTCCTGATTATGTGCCTTCTTTCTGCCTTCTATCCCTCATCCTGAGGCTTTCTCTCTCTCTCTCTGTCTCTCTCCCTCTCTCTGTTGTGAAACATTCTCACCGATACAGAAAAAACAAGCGTCTCTCCTCTCCTGTCAGACTTTACCCAGAAGTAATCTTGCTGAACACCCAGGCCAGAACGCTTGTGCTGAATTTACGCTTGCTGCTCTGTTACTGCCCACTGAGCTGGAGTTTGTGTCCTAGTATGCTGTAGTTTTGTTAAAGTGCCCATAATCTGAATTTTCTTTTCCTTGAAATCCAGTTCTGTGGGGTATTTTGTATCAAAAACAGTCATTACTTTTTACATGACCACTTTCCATCCTTTCTTTATCCCTTAGAATTAAGTGGGATATTTTCATCACTGGCTAATGTATGTAAAGGATTCAGTGGCTGAATTCAGTATTGGCTGCCCTGTGTTTTACCTGCTCATATTGGATGTCTGGA